CCCCCCCAATTGAACCCCGGAAAAGTAACAAAAAAACCAAAAAAGTCAAAAAAAGAACCCCGCCCACCCCGGGACCAATAGGGGCATTTTTAAAACCCGTAAAAGATAACCAACGGGGGGGGCCCTAAAATTAAAAACCAACACCCCCCCGAAACCCCGTGGGAAAAAAAGGGGGGGGTTTAACAGGGCCAAAAAGAAAGTGAAAGGGGGAGTTTTCCCCGTAATAAAAGTTTTAAAAGGGGGGGGGTGGGGGGAGGTTGGAAATTTGGAGCCCCTGTTTTATTTTCCCCAAAGGGGGGAAACGGGAAAAAAAAACCCCCCCAATTCCCGGGGGGGCTTCGAAAAGGAAATAACCGCCCTTCCCCCCCCCCCCCAGGGGGGGGGGAAACGGGAAAAATTTGAAAAGGGGGGGGGGGGGAAAGGATAAACCCCCCGAAAGGGGGCAGGGCCCCCCCCCCCCCCCCCCCGATCGCACGCCTTCTTTACCGCCGGTGCCCCCCTGCTATCGGTGGGTGGCGCCGCTCGAAGCCTGTTCTTGGGGCGTTGTTGCTGCCGCCGTCTTTTCGCCAGAGGCCTTTGTCTGGGCGTACGAAGGGGTCTGGTCAACAGCTCTTCGCCCCACCTGGACAAAAAGGCCACCACCAAGAAAGGAAAACACACAAGCCAAAAAGATCGCATTCCAGGTCTGAAAAAGGAAGCAATGTGGAGGGAACACTAGCACTTGGACCTACAGCAGTAGATTCTTCGTTTTATTCCATGAACAAATACTGGGCATGTTTTTGCATAAAAAGGGGTGCGTTTACGCATGTCTGCATGCGTGCGCGCGTGTGTGTGTTTCCAGCTGGCCCATGTATCGTTGTGAGTACTGCACCTCGGCTCTCGTTCTGGTTCCGCACTCCGGACTCAATTGTCTTCTCGGCAGGAATCTCTCTCTCTCTCTCTCTCTCTCTCTCTCTCTCTCTCTCTCTCTCTCTCTCTCTCTCTCTCTCTCTCTCTCTCTCTCTCTCTCTCTCTCTCTCTCTCTCTCTCTCTCTCTCTCTCTCTCTCTCTCTCTCTCTCTCTCCCTCTCTCTCTCTTTGTCTGTGTAGCCATAACATAGTTACAGCTCAACGGCGCGCGGGTGGAGTATGCTCAAACGTATGGCCCAACTCTAAACCCGTGAGCCTTACGTACTCACGCATGTGCTTGGCACTCGACATACATCAAGGACTGCGCACACCAGGCCATCCGCATGCCTACACCGCTCCTGTTTCCGTCCTCCTCACAGCTTCATAAAAAGGGATGCCCCCCTCGCATCCAAGCAGCATGCATGCTGTGCTGCTATTGCTGTATCAAATACTCCGCCATCCTCTTTTTCGTGCTCAGTTCTTGGGATAAGTGACCAGCGGTCAAATAACAAAGGCCAGCAACAGCTAAGACAGCCTTCGCGAGAACGTTACAATTAACCTATTGAAATAGAGGGGGGGGGGTTGAATCCTTATCCCCAACCCTAACCCCGAACCCCACCCCGTTCCCCCTACTAAAGCAAGCGTCATATCCTCTCCCGAAGGCTACTGAGAGCAGCTAACTCTCCCCCAAATCCCCTCCCCTCTACACCACTACGGGTACATCCTACGTCTGCTACCAGCAAATCATCGCCGTCTCGCTGCCTGCCTGTCCAGAACGACCAAAGCCACACTTGTCTGTCTTAAAAACGCTTTCACGTGTCCCTGCCGAGTTCTCTTCGTCGGCCTCCCAAAAACACTTTCCCCCCCCCCGTCAAATCTCACGGCGGTCTCCCGAACCACGCTCTCCCCCTCTCAATCCCACGCCTTCGTGTTCTCACCTCTGCGGCCTCCCGACACGCGACCGGGGTGTCCTTGAGCATGGCCTCAGCGTCCCTGCGGTACTCCTGCTCGACCACCGGCTTCATCATGATCAAGAAGTCTTCCCATTCGATCGACCCGGACATTGATGAGTCCCCCTCCTGTGCAACAACAACAACAACAACGAGAGCAGCCGTTTCACAAAAAAAGGGGGCCCCGCGAAATACACACGACGGGAAAACAAGATCTCGAATCAAGCGGGCGTTGTGTAGGGTGTGGGCGTGGGGGGAGTTCCGTTGCTGTTTCATACAGAAAAGGAACACAGGACGAGCACGCACCACCTACGCATGGTTCCAAAGAAAGAGGGCATGTCTATCACACGAGATGGGGAGAGGGGGGCAGGTTGCCACCGCAAACGTAGAACACGCGGCGAAAAACCACAACTCCTGTCTGTCTGCCTGTCTCTTGGCTATGTCTGTGTCCCTCCCTGCCACACACCCTTTCTCTGCCACACACACAAAACACAGCCGACGCATTTTCATTGGGCACTGGTCAGCGCCGTCAGCGGCCGGTGTCTAGGTCACATAGTTATATGGTCGTCAAAGCGGGTGCCCCGAAGTTTCGGTGGCACTAAAAGGGGGCCCGCAACACTCTTCGTGACCACAACACCGAGAGAACCCCCCCCCCCTACATACCCGGAGCGTGTTGTCCATGCCACCGTTGTCGTCAGTCTCTCCCCCCCCCCTT